TGGCCCCCTATGGAAACGCAGCCAAAGCGAAGGCGCTATATGCATTCACAATCAGCCTTAACGAGACCAACGTCGAGAAACCCGCCAACTCTACTTTCACGCCCTTCAGCCAGAGAAAGCCAAAGAGGCGGGCGCAGGATGAGGGCTCCTACAGCCGCTTCGCCAACGGAGACGACGATGGCCGCCATCACCGCCGCGGAAATAAGCGCCGACGTCAGTCGCCTCCTCCCGGGCCGGACCGGTGCTTCTTCTGCTTGAGCAACCCCAACCTCGATACCCACATGGTCTGCACCATTGGCGAAGACAGCTATCTTGCTACTGCCAAGGGCCCCCTAGCCACATCCCAGACCTTTGAGGAGCACGGTATCAACTTCCCTGGCCACGTCATCATCACGCCTCTCGCGCATACACCAACCGTTCACTCCTCTGGCGTCGAGAGCTATACCCCTGAGGAGGCGGAGAAGACCCACAAGGAGATGACCCGTTTCCGCGAGGCCCTCCAGGCCATGGTATCGGCCAAGTCGAACCGCAAGCTGGGTGCCATCACCTGGGAAATCAGCCGCGGTCGCAATATTCACGCTCACTGGCAGTTTCACCCTATTCCCGCGGACTTTGTCTACAAGGGTCTTGCCGAGGCCGGCTTCCGGGTTGAGGCCGAGAACCTCAAGTACCCCGAGTTTGAGAGCCGCGAGATTTCGTACGAGGACCAGGCCGACTTTGGCGACTACTTCCGCATCTGGATCTGGGCAGACGACGGCGAAGACAGAATTAAGGGCTCTAGTCTCGTGATGAAGCTCGATCCCAACATGCGCTTCGATCTGCAGTATCCGCGTAAGGTTGTCGCGAAGCTCCTCGGTCTCGAGAAGCGTTTTGTCTGGCAGGACTGCACGCAGACTAAGGAGGAAGAGGAGAAGGACGTGGCAGCTCTCCGCGAGGCTTTCAAGGAGTGGGATTTTGCGCTTCAGTGAGGCGCGCGGCACATCTAGCGGCGATATCGAGGGCGTTTGACAAGTTTGAGCATGATTACATCATTTTCCTGGCATGGCATTTGGCGTGGGTGGCGTTTGGGGGATACCCAGGTAAACTGCATATCTTTGCTATATAAGCAGGCCAGCAGTGGGAAGAGATTATCATTTGGCTTTTCAAAGTTACTTTTTTTTACGAGCGGAGGCATATCACAAGGAGCAGATCTATCCATGGCTTCATTCGAACCGGGGATACTGGGGAAAGCTACGTTGCTTCATCGCGTAGGGGCTACGTTGGACCTTCATAGACGGGCGAGTTAGGCCTCAAAAAGTTTTTCTGAATCGTTTCCATCATTCTTGATCTCTGGTCAAATTTCATCTCTGCTCATTTCGCCAAGGCATGTGGTTCGAGTCGTGGATCCCATCACGGGTCCCATCACGGATCCCAATTCCATTCAAATCAACTTTCGAATCTGAGATGAAGCCAACGATGCAACATAGCAACATAGCAACATAGCAACCGTAATGCCTCGTTAGAAACCCCCACAAAAACAGCTTTTCTCATCATGAAAAAGAACAAAACATGCGTAAGCACGGCAAAGGCGCTCTCGACGCCCGAATAAGCTTCTCCCTTGCTTGCCGCCACAAATGGACCCCTGATTTGTCTACATACTATCCATCTTAGGCAAAACTATCCACACGTGCAGGTGTCAGAGCCTCTTCGGGACATACCCGCAAGGGAGATTGAGACCAAGACCTTTTGACTTGGGCCCATTTCCTCTCACCGTTTGCCACTTTTCCCCATTCTCGAGATTCAACCTCGGACGGGAAAAGATTCAAGACAATAGTGACATCCAACTGAGATGGCCAAGGCCATTTTGCTTTCCCGAAACACAAAGAATGGCCTTCTCAGCGGTAAATCACCTTTATACGCGGAACTACATCACGAAGTTCACACACTAGACTTTCCAGAATCCACAGCAAAAGTAGTGCAAACAGCACCTAGTCTCCAAGCTATACGGCTCAAGAGATTCACACAAAAAAAAAGGACTCAGCTGAGATGTGACTACCCATAATTTGAGAGATGACAACAGAAAGCCGAATCACAACTATTGACATTCTCTCGCCGTATCCCCCAACGACGCTCACCTACCTACCTACTTCAACTGCCCACCTCAAGATTGGTGATTACGGCATCTCCCACCTCTGAGACAAAGTCTCGCCCAGGGAAGAATGTAGACCACAACGGAAGTGGCTGGACTCTCTCTGACGAAATTTGGCTCACTTGACTCGCTTGCATCGTTTATCCTAAAAGAGAGAGAGAGAGAGAAAAAGCCACTGACGAACCACCACGCAAGGGAGAGAGAGCGCGGCTCAAAAACAAGCCACAAAAGAGCCCGAACCCGAGCCCAACAACCAAAACAAACAGCCCCAGCGTGTCCGGACCGAAACGTCTTTCTTCTTTCCGTCCTTCTTGAACCCTTCGGTGAGCTTTCCTATTCGGGAAGCACAAGTCAAAACCTTGGTGCTCTGGCGGCTCTCAGGTTCAGTCGGTGGTGTGAGATGATCTGGCCTGTCTTTTTGGGGCTACTTCTCACCTACCTTAGCACGTGTCTTTAGTAAGGTAAAGTAGATATTCTCTCCCCCGACGCCGAGTCCTCAGAACAAACGAAAAGGGACAAAGAGAATAACGCTGGAACCACACCAAAAAGCTGTTGAGCGGCTGGCTTGTAAAGTTCTCTAGAGCCTACCTAGTTACCTTGCCCCATATGGCTTCAAACAATAGTACCCGCACAAATGCACAATACAGCCGCTCATCTAGCCCGGCACCAGAAACGTGTCTGCCCGCCTCTGACTCTAGGATACTCTACTGCTGCCGTCTCCCATAGTTGGACGGGACGCTACTCTTCTTTGAAAGATGATCCGTTACCATCCGTTCTTCTCTTTGTCTATCGAGAACGAAGAAGCCGGTGAGGGATTTGTGATGAACAAGGGGGAAGAACTTGTCCCTCTGTCCCTCTGCAACTCTGAGTCGTGCGCGCCAACTCTTGACCATGACACGACACGTTCACAAAAACCTGGGCCGGAAACGGCAACACGCCGCGTGGTCATTTGAGTTGGATACTTCACCTGGCAAGGACACCTTCGCACGCACCATACTCATTATCTTGTATGGAGTTTATTCATCTCTTTGAATTCCCATGTAGCGAGCATCACAATAGAGAAGGGGAACAAAAGGCCCATAACCTTGAGCTCCGGACTCGGTCAAGCGACTAGTCCCTCTCCTCTCCTGGAATTGAAATCTGCCCAAGAATGCTCCAAGAAGACCCTTCCTCTCCATCCCTCAATGGGGAAAAAAACAAATTGTATCAATGAATGGATTTAGCATACCTCCTCAGCAGTCAAAGAAAGGACCGTTAGGCCTGTATCACCGCTCGCTCGCGTGCTCGCGTGCTTACGCCCACCCTTCCTTACTACCCCCAAAGAAAAGCCACATCTTGACATTCTTATCCAAAAATAAGCAACAGACGTTAGGCTGATGGGACATTGAGGCTGGCGGGAGAGTACGAAGTAGGGGGGGAGGAAGAGAACAAAGCCACCCCTCCCATCCTTCCACGCTAGAACATTCGGCAGAACAACCCAAACATCTTGACCTTCAGCCCCCCCCCCCCCTTACCTATCCCACCTAAACCTCACGACACGCAAAGAAAGGCAAAGCCCGAAACAACCCCAAAGCCCAAAGACTCTAACAATAGACCCTCAGATCCCAAACGCCAAAACGGGGAGAATAACATATACACACAGAAGAAAGAGAGAGAGAGAGAGATCCTAGCGCGGAGGCTACGTATGAACTAAGGAGTAAACTCCGACCCTAGCTTCGGGAGATGAAGAGGGACCGAGCAACAAACAGATCAAGGCGTGCGAGGCTCTCACTTGCATCATAACCCATCCGACAAACCCCAATCACTCACAACTCATCATTCCATCGGGCCTTGCTTAGGGAAGAATGGAAGGGGGTGATAGGACCGAGTTTGATACCACCGTCATCTGCCACCTGCCAAATCTCACCGTCCATCTACAGTCTAGACAAGGGTTGAAGCCTAAAGGGGGGGGGGGGGGGAAACACCACGATGTCACAGAAGACCTCGCTTCGGTTCGAAGAAAAGAACACCAGTCAAAGCTGACGTTGAATCGTGAAACTCAAGTAGTCCATACGGGTCTCGCGGTCACGGGAGCTTCCCTGCACAGTAGACTAAAGGGAACGGATAGAGCCTCAATACGAAGTCTAAAAAGACACATTCGTGGGGGACGGGCCCCCAAGTTTCGAAACACCCATAATCCACAGTTCGGGACGAACCAGAACAACCACAAAACCTCGGACCTCAAAAGTTTCGCACAGACGATCCAGCCATCAGCCGGTGCGATCTCAACGGCTTGAGGTGTTCATCGGGAATGGCTCAGACAAACGCGCTCGCGCACAACATGTAGACAAGCACGCGCTCGCGCGCGCGCATACCATCACAGCCGCGCCTTGAGCACGTGTCTCACGAGTCCAAGCAATGATGAGCGTGTTCTTTTGTTTGTGTGTATTTTCATTCAATTGTTATGAGCTAGCCCACAATGATCCGACCATGGACCATTGGTGTTTGGTTGGCAATTTTTTGGTCTTTGCATCGCCAGTACTGTACAGAAAGAGGCAATGGATTCACCCATGCCGGTATTGCACCAATCCAGCTTCCAAGCTTGCAGTGCTATCTCCCCCATTGGCCAATGTTACAAGGCATTCCCAAGCAACTGCTTTTCATCCACTGTACTAGCTTCTCCGCTCTTTGCATGCGTTCTTTCGCAGCTACTCCTACAATATACACAAGGAGGTGGAGTCCTCCCTAAAGCTCAACCATCGGAAGAAAAAGAGGTCCGTGGGGCTTCTGTTTTGAAAAAATGTAAAGGGAATGGGGTGTCGAGAGGTCTGTGAGTGCCATCCGATGACAAGGATGTCGGGTATCCGGCGTTTGGATAGAAAGGTGTGTGGTATCAGGTGAAGATGGTCAATGGACCGAGTTGAGCACAAAGGAAAAAGGGTCCGCCGATGGAGGGATGGTCCGAGAAATAATACTCCGAAAATATGTGGAGATTCCGACAGAAGAGCAGACAGACCGAGACGTCATACTGAAATGCTCCCGCGTCTGAAATCTGTGGAGACAGACAAGCGGTGATGGTGATGTTGTTGTCGTTTGTTTGTTGGTATATGTGTGTTTGGTTGAGGACCATCCTCCTCGGCGGGATGCAGAAGTCTTTGACAAAGGAAAAAGAAACAAAAAAAACCAAGGACAATGCTGTAAAATGCCGACAGGGAGCCATCCCAAGATGCCAGATCCAAAGTGGACTCCGTACAACCATATCGAGGCGATGCGGGGACAAATATGCCAAATGCGTCTAATGCCGGGTTGCTGGTTTTGTTGTATGTTCAAGTTGCAGAACGAGGCTCGTAACGAAGTTCTATTAGCGTAACAATTGAGGTCATCGCGGCCGTGAGCGTTGCGTTAGCTGCTGTGTAGTCCGGATTGGTAAGGGTGGAAATATAGGCAGTCGAATCGAATAGGGGTTCGTTGAACATGTGCAGGAAGAGACGCGAAAAACATCGACAATCAGGCTGCTGTGGTTCGCCCTATTAGGGATGTCGAGCAAACAGTCGACAAAACAATGGACAGCTTCGAAGTCTGCGGAGACCTCGAATTCCCCCTCTTGCCAAGCAAGGAGATCTCACCCCTCCACTATGTGCAGCAGACAGTGGGTGTGAGAGGGGCGCAAAAAGATGTATGTGCTAGTAAGACGCCATGCGTCGTGCATGGCATCGCTCGCCGAGGATTGGAGAGTTGCCAATCATGGCGATGGGATCTTGCCGGAAGCTGATGCTGGGTCTGAGGCCACTGGGGCGCGCTGGAGCTGTGGGTGATTGGTCGACGCAAGAGTCGCGCGAGCCAAAGGCGAACGTTTGCGCTCTGCCGAAGCCCTTGCGAGGGTTCTTGAGGCGGCCAAGTTCGCGTTCGCAGGTGCGCTGGTGAGCCTCATCCGACATTTCCACGTAGTTTTGGGGATAGCAACGGCAAGGGTGCTCGGCGTAGAAGCCGCTGTATCCTCCTTCAAGAATATACACGTCAGGGTATGTGAGTCGCGGGTAGTGCTCGGCGTTGACAGTCCTGTCCTCGGAGCGGATATGGCGAGCCATCATGGGGGCGCGGTGCGCCGAGTATTCGCAGTGGAAGATGAGGATTGTTCTTCCTTGCATGGGGTGTTGGATCAGCTGGGAGGCGAGGAGGTCCTTGCTGTTGTAGTTGACAGCTCCGTCAATGTGTCCTCCGTCGTACTCGTACTCGAAACGGCAGTCAATGATCATCTTCTGGTCGAACTTGTCACTGTACTTTCCGTCCAAGAGATCAATCATGGTGGCCTTTGTTATCCGGGGAATGGTGTCCGTGGGGTCATCGGCGAGGAAGTGAGGTAGGATGGGCTCCTGGACATCATCGGCATCCATGCTGGTAACAGACTCTGGGGTGGTGGGCGAGGAGTCGCCGCCTTCTGACTTTGCCTTGGCAACATCGCCAGGGTGCTCAAACATGCTCAAAGAGCGACGGAACTGCTTGCGGGGACGCATAAAGGGATTTGAAGGGCGACGGCTGTGACCGTTGCCAAAAGGGCTGTTGCGGTTACCAGAGAGGCTGGAGAATTGAGGACGAGGACGAACGGCACCAGGCACGGCAGGAGTAGGGCTATTCGCAGTCTGAGGTCGTCGTTCTTGAGGAGGTGATGTAGCATCGAAGCATTCTCCCAGGGACATTGCGCTGTTCATATGCGTCAAGCGATTCTCACCAAATCGGAAAGTGGGGAGTTGGGTGTCTGTGTTGGAACGGCCGGGAACGCCACTAGTTGAGTAGCCTTTCATCCGAGTCAAGGAGGGCCGGCGCAAAGCTGGCTTTCTCCGTCTGCCCCCTGAGTTAGACGCGACCCCTTGAGCTAGGAGGAATGTGGCAATCAAACTTACTCGGCTACCAGTGGCTTGGGTGGCTCCAACGATGCCTGCCGAGGAATGGGGGCTGGCGAATCCAACATCATCTCGTCGTCCTCGCCGGTTGGGGTTGATCCCGGGGTCGGTGACGTTATCGCGATCTGGGTCATGAACGGGAGCTTGTGCGGCAACGGCGAGACATCCATCAAATCGTGGGCAGGTGACGATTCGGGCAGAGGAGGCGTAGTCACGTATTCTGGTCTCACATCAGCTTCCTAGTCCCATTTCCTCTCTTTTGTGCTTGCAATCCATAGAAGAACGTACCGTAGGAATCCGCGTCACCCATCATGTTTGACGTGAACAAGGCACGACGAGGTGTGGGGAACTTGGGACTAGACAGAACGTTGTTAGTTGACGGTTTTCCAGACTGAATTTATTGGATGCACGTCATCGTACCTCGCCTCGGTATCCAGACGGAAGTTTTGTGAGAGATCGGCGGCCAAACTAGCAGCGGGCGAGGAACCGTGAACGTCCTTGACATTGAAGTAGTTGTCGGGCCTGTGAAGGTGTTCGCGCAGACTGATGGGTACGGCACCAGCGAAGGTGTTGGGGCGAGGGCGGAAAAGATCCTTATTTCCCCAAGAAGGAACTGCCATGGGACGGTGCATAGCCGCCAATGGTGATGAAGCCTCCATGATTGTGGTGTGTGGTTGTCGGGACCCGATCGTGGGAAGCGAAAGTATTTATTGCGGGTGGTGATGGGTGTTAGTGGTGTCTCTTTTTGTTTCTTTGGTGTGAGTGCTGCGTCCAAGACGATACTCGATATGTCGTGACGAAAAAAAGAGGGACGATCGTTAAGAAGAGGCCGCAATAAGCGAATGTTGCAGCAAATCCCAAGATGAATATCTGTTTTAGCCGTTTCCACTCAATGGAGAGGGAACAAGACGTCGCGACGAGTATGAATCGGAGGGCGGCGGTGATGCAAGCTGTAGAGAGAGGCTTCTTCGATCTCGAATCGAGCGTCGATGTTGGCTTGATGGGATTTCGTGGCGGCGGGGGTTTTTCGAGAGGGCGCGTGCAGCAATGCAGCTGAGATGGAGAAAAAAGACTGGCCGTTCGTTATTGCGTCGGTGCAAGCAACATTTGAATACCCGAGGAATGAAATAAAATGCGTCCTATTTCTCCTTGATTCATGAAACGTATTTTTCTTCCTCCCAGAGAATATCGGTCGAGGTCGAAGTCGATATCGAAGTCGAGATCGAGGTCGTTGGCGGCGTCTCTAGCTGGGGGGGAGAGAGAGGCGAGAGAGGCCGGCGGTCCACGATGGGGCCTTGGGTGGTTGCAAGGGGAACAAAGGTGGGCGGATAATCGTAGGTGGGAGGGAGGCGCCTTTTGCATGCAACTTCTTTCTCGAACAAAAGAGAAGAGAAAGAGCGCACCGAAAAGACTGACCGAATCCTTAGTGCCGGAGCAGGAGCAAAGGCAAATGCGGATGCGGTGCGGGAGCTGCAGTGCGGCGTCGGTGTTGAAGGTGCGTTTCGGAGGCTACGACCCTTTTTAGTTCTTTGCTCGAGCTACGCTTTTTCGGTGGCCGAGCAGGAAGGGATGCTGCAGTGATGCAAGGACGCAGGTTGCAGTGAGTGAGTGAGAGAGAGAGACTGGCTTTGCTGGTTGGTACTGAGTAGCGACACAGAGAGAGAAAAGATCCGAGTGTACAGCAGTAGCACCGGACAAGCAATGACAAGAGAAACGAGTGCAATGCCTTTGGGTTATCTAGTGCTGGCGCAGGGACGGGGAAGAAAAAACGTCAAGTAGTTTCTTCCAAGCGTCTAGCCTTCTTTTTCTTGGATTCCTCTTTTGCTTGTGCTTCTCTTGTTTCCTGTTTCGGCTTCGTTCTCGTCCGTCTGGTTCTTCTTCTTCTTGTTCTTCCTGATTACCCACGATGCCCAACGGGGGGAAAGCAGTAACAGACGCAGAAAAGAGCAATCAAACGAGAAAGACGGAAAATTAGAAATAAGAGTCGTGAGTTGAGTTTTTGCTGGTTGAGTGTGTGGACTGGCCAACAGAAAGGGCGGCGTCGAGTTACGATATTGGTCGTCGACGACAGTTATGCGATACGATGGGAGGACGATTATAGGGTGGTAGTCCGTGGGCGTGAGATGTTGGTGGTGGTGGTGGTGGTGTGTAGTAGGATTTTGGGTGCACGTTGAGTACGATAAGTTGTAGAGAATGGCTGGACCTGGAGACCTGGGCACCTAGGGATGATTCCTGAACTGAACCTCTCTGATGGACCTAAGAATAAAGGTATCCGTAACTCTCTAAACCTACCGTACCGTCGGACCGTTGGTGGTTATGGTCGGGGATGAAGGGGGGAAAGAAGAGAGAGAGGGAGGGAAGAGGTCGGAAGAAAGAGGAGACTAGAGGTTTTTGAATGAAGGTGTGGTGTGTGTGTGGTTGACTGGTCGTGGTGAGCAAAGTATGGATATGGATATGGATTTGGGATGGGATGGGAACTGGGTGTGTGTCTTGTCTCTCTCTCTCTCTGTCACTCTCTGGAACCATGGACCATGGATCAAGGTGTGTAGTGTATGGATGGTGTGTGGTGTGTGTGGTGTGCGTGAGAGGTGTGGTGTGCAGCAACCATGAGGTGTGTGTGACGGGATTGGGACAGGATGGGATGGGATACCTGGGATGGGGATGGGGATGGGGATGGGGGATGGGACAAGGACAGGATGGGACAAGAAGCAGCAACCAAGCGACCAGAAGCAGGAACCAGGCCTCTCTGGGAGTCAGGATGGGATGGGATGGGATGGGATGGGATGGGATGGAACCAAGGCATACGCCGCACACAGCAACGGTGCTATGTACCACCACTACCACCAGTCTACCACTGCTACTTTGCGTAGCCGACTAGGTAGGAAGAGTGTATTAGCGACCAGACAGACAGCCGCCAGACAACGACGACGACGACAACGGGAGCGAGCGAAGAGAGAGGGTGTGTGGATGGAAACCTGAACCAGGTCCAGGAAGGCAGCTCGACGGGGTGGATTGAGACTTGACCGGGATGGGGGATGTCACTGTCAGTTGTTGCTAGCCCAGGATGGTCAAGATGGATGGGAACTTGGGAAGACTGGAGCTGGACGAGCTGGAACAGGAACCACCAGCAACGAGACAGGAACGGGTACAAGATGACATGCCGGGACTAAGCATTCAGACCAGCAACGACAATGTACAATATCAAGTTAGGTACACCAAGAGAGAGAGACACAGAGAGAGGGCGAGACATCTTACATACGCACAGCATAGCAGTCACGCACAACACACTGCAGCCGCCGACGATATCCCTCCACTCTTTCTGCTCCTCCTACGCAACCTCAATCTCAGTACAATGTAC